AGGCTAGAAGTGAAAACATACACACAAGAAATAAGGAAAAGAAGCAAAGTTGCAAAAAAAGAAAAGAAAAAATAAATAAATAAAAACAGGCAAGGGCTTTCTCTCCACCAAAGAGTGGTATGCCTCTGTGCCACCTTCTGCCCCTGTTTCTTTCACAATCACCTGAGAAAGTTCAAGGTGTCCATCTTGTGCCTGGCTAGACAGTATAGATTACCAATCTCTCTGTCTGTCTTTTTTTTTCACCCAGTAAAGTTGCTTCTCCTAGTGAGGGCTAGTCCATGACTGGTTAAGGCCAGCTCTGCAGATTTGGAGCAAGGCCCAACCCAAGAGAAGTTAATGTGGAATGTTTCTCCCTTTTGTTGTTGTTGTTGTTAAGTGTCATCGAGTTGGTTCCAACTCATAGCAATCCTGTATAGGGTTTCCAAGGAGCAGCTGGTGAACTTGAACCATTGACCTTCCTGTTCAAAACAATCTTGCAGTCCAGCAAATTAATGCACAGTGCTACACCAAGAATCCATTAATGAGGTTTAGAAAAGAGATTTCCAATCTCTTCCTACTTCTGATTGCTGGTAGAGTGGGAACTTTCCTGTGGGTTTATGTGGGTGGGGCCTGGCCTCACCTTTGGTCACCAGGGGAGTTTGAGCAACAAGAAAAGTATTCACACCTTCATCTCGTTGAGCCACAGGTAGTTTTCTGCAACTCCAGTATGTTTTCTTGTCTTTGAAACCAGTCACAAAGGTTCAAGATGGTTGAGGTGCATTTGGTCAGCCATCACAGGTCACTATTCTCAACTGTTTTGCCATGTCTTCTCAGCAGTCTCTCCTAGTAAGCATTTGATCCATTTCTCATATCCCTTCATCTGAAGCTTAGAGCTCCAGGCCTAGCATCTGTATACATTTCATTTGGCTTTCCTTATTTTTGTTGTAGAGGGTCCGAACAGTCTTTATACCTAGTTTGCCATCTTTCCCTGCTTTCTAACCTCGCTGTTGCTGTTGTTAAGTGCTGTTGAGTAGATTCTGGCCCATAGTGACCCTGTATAGGGTTTCCAAGTAGTAGCTGGTGAGCTTGAACCACCAACCTTGCAGTTCAAGCAACTTTGCAGTCTGACGCATTAGTTCAGAGTGCCATACCAGGACTTCGCCTTCTAACCTAGACACTGTTTTAATGAAGTGGTCTATGGGCATTGATTACTCATATGATAAACAAAATTAGTCTCCCATTTCAAGGTGTGGTCTTATGATCACCTCCAAGAATTTCCTGCTCTGCAACATGTAAGAGGATTGTGAGAATCCTTCTCTCCTGGGTTTGACAGACTACAGGAAAGCCATGTCTAGGTTCCCAACAGCATGTATATTGAGGACAAAGGGTTACCGGAAATTAAAGGTTCTCTACAGGCAATGTTGTTGTTGAGTGCCATTGAGTTGGTTCTGACCCATAGTGACCTTATGTAGGATTTCCAATGAGCAGCTGGTGAGATTGAACCGCCAACCTTGTTGTTCAAACTGACTTTGCAGTCCAGAGCATTAACCCACATGCCACACCAGGACTCCACATATAGGGTGGTTTACCATCTCCTGATGACTACTCAAAATATAGTGTCCATAAGAAGCAGTCATTCTACCTTTATCTCAATAAAATAATTTAACAAAGTTTTGTTTTTCTTTTTCAGAAGCCAATCATCTCTGCTTTTGACACATACTTTGTGTCCGTTAGTAGTTATTATGTCCATTAGTATGTAGCACACATGTGCATCTAGCATAAATATTGACAATGTGAAGCTTTCTCCGCTTTCAGACTTGTTTGACCTTTGCATCAGCAAGAAGCAAAGTTTTCATTATGCATTCAATAATATTTACTGGGCACCTACAAGTGGTGGTGGTGGTTGTGTACTGTAGAGTCGGTTCTGACTCTTAGCAACCCTTTATAGAGTTTCCAAGCCTGTAAATCTTTACAGGAGCAGGAACCCTCATCTGTCTCTGGAAGAATGACTGGTAGATTTGAACAGCTAATGCACAGTTAGCAGCCCAAATTTTAAGTTAGTGTACTACTACCAGGGCTCCTTGGGCTCTACTTGTTGTTGTTAAGTGCCATCGAGTCGGGTCCGACCCATAGCGACCCTGTACAGGGTTTCCGAGGGTGTAAATCTTTACGGGAGTAGAAAGCCTCATCTTTCTCCCGCGGAGCGGCTGGTAGTTTCGAACCGCTGACCTTAAGGTTCGCAGCCCGATTCGTAACCACTACGCTACCAGAGCTCCTTTGGGCTCTACTAGATGTAATAAAAATATATACTATCTTTTGTGCTTTCTGTATCCAAGCTTTAAATACTTCATGTACAATACCTAATTTAAAGCTCAAGCATACTCTATGAAATAGGTATTATTATTAGTCTCATTTTTCTATTAAGTAAATTGAGACTTAGAGAATTTAAATGTCAAGCCCAGTATTAAAGGTCATGGAAGAGGCAGAAACTAGGATTACAGCTCTAGCTGTTTGGTTCCTGAACCTCTCCTCTTCATCACTTGGCTATGGTGCTGGTATAATGCTCTGTTTTGGGGCCTGTACACACAACAGAATAATACATCCAGAAATACTTCCTTTATGAAAATTGACAGCAACTCGAAACTTATGCAAGTGAAAAATTATTGGTGCAGCAAGACATTTTAAGGAAGTGAGGGTGTCCTATTTTTCTGGGATAATAATGAAATTCAAACAAGGATAGTTAATGAGAAGGAGATGGGGATAGCACTCATGTGGTACAATAGTGAATAATTAGTATCAGGACTGACTGTGAGGGTTGGAAATGTAAAGGTAG